TTAGTGGAATGGCTTGATGAGAAGTTATAGAAAGGAGGAAAAAATGGCGGATGAGGTGGCGTGGCGGTCAGTGGAACGGCAGACAAAGAGGTTAAAGAAAGGAAGGGAAATAGCGGATGGGGTGGAGTACCGGTTAATGGAATGGCAGAAAATTAGAAAAAAAAACCAAAACAAAACAAAAACAAAGAAAAAAAAACAGACGGAGTGGGATGAGGGTTAATGGAAAAGAAGATACATGGGAGGAGAGTAGCAAAGGGTACTGGATGACGATTAATGGAATGACAAGTAGAGAAGTTAAATAAATGGAAAGGGGGGGGAGGGGTTTCGAAAGGGGCGGGGTGACAGTCAGTGGAAGGGCAAGTAGAGAGATCAGACAAATGGGTTGAAATGACGAAATGGGTGAGATAATGGGTAAAGACGGCTTAAACGGACGAAATAAACGGGATGAAGACAGGAATAGAAAAATGAGATAGAGGATGAACAGACAAATAGAGGACACACTAGATAAATAAACTGGGTTAAGGAAAAGTCTAGTTGTTAATGTTGCTATTACCGGGTACAGTTGATAATCTAATCTAATCTCTTTAAATAATTAGATTAGGGCAAGGACATTGTGTTGTATTTCTTGCACTCAGAATGACATATATGACTTTCCTGCATTATAAAGATAATAATAATAATAATAATAACACTAACAACAGTAGCAATATTAAAAATAATGATAAATAATAAGGATAATATTGATGATGATGATGGTAATGATAACAACAACAATAACAATAATGATAATAATAATAACAAAATTAATGATAACAACAACAATATGATAATAACAATAATAACACTACTACTACTAATTCCGGTGTCGTACCAACGCCGAAGGGAAGGAAGCCCTCCTTCTTGGTCGTGAACTTCCCTTGGTCGTCGAGCCAGCGCTCCGGATTAAACCTCTCAGGCTCATTCCAGTAGCGGGGGTCGTGGTGCATGGCGGCCGCGGCTGTCGACACGATCGTTCCCTGTGGCGATTGGGGGGGAGGGGGGCTTGGTTAATAGGTGGTGTCTGTCAGTACGGGAGGGGGAGGGGGAGGGGGGAAGTGTTTCATACGTGATACACAGACCTAAACACACACACATACACACATACCTGTCTATGTATCTGTTTTCACATGCAAACATACCTATTTATCCCTCTGTCTACACACACACACATATATATATTTATATAAGCATATATATATAATTACATATATATATGCATGTATAGCACAGACACATACACCCGTACACATATAGATAGATCGATAAGCATTGCATATGTAAACAAATGTGAAATGTGTATATTAGAAACATCCATCCAACATACCTTAGGGAGTAAGTATCCACCCAGCTTAGTGTCCCTCACGGCAACATGCGGAACGCCTATTGATGCCAAAGAAGAAGCCCGAAGAACCTCATGAATAACAGCCTCAGTATACGGCATTCTGCGGACAGTAAGAAGGTCAGGTTTTAATCTCCCTCGCCCCACCCCCTTTGCCACCGACCCAACACGACACTTAAAACTCAAAACATATTTAAGAAGTTTCTGAAGTACCTGCTTCTGTCTTCGAGTGTAGCGAGCGATCCTTTAGGCAGAACCTCGTCGATCTCTGCCTGGAACTTCCTCTGAATCTCTGGATAATTGGCTAGATAGTAAATCATGAAGGTGAGGGTGCCGACCGTGGTTTCACTGCCGGCGAAGAACAGGTCCAAGATAAGGATACACAGATCCCTTTCTGAAATAAGGGAAAGATTCCATAAATACATTTAAGCAAGATCATAAGAACTCTACCATACAATTTTATATTTATGAATATGTATGAGATATTCCACATGTGTATATATCACAGTTAAAAGAACTCCACCCTATATATACTTAAAGCTATAATTTTCATCTCATTTTTGATTATTCTTGTATGGGCGCGACCCCTCACATGCCCAAAAATAGAATGTCTTACCAGTTCGAACCACGTCTGGGTTGTCCTTCGATGCCTCAATATCAAGAAGGTAGCCGTCCATCAGGTCCCTAGGATTATCAGGATCCAAGGAAGATTTGTGTTCCTCGATCAGTTCCTGTGAATGCATTATTTTGAAACGTTTATTTATTTGTTTCATCCATCACGCTGGAATCCCCCTTAATTAACAAATCCTTGAGAATATGTCAATAAACATATATCCAATTTTTTTTATCGAATACACACCTTGCAATAATCGAAGAATTTGTCCTTCAGAGTGTAAAGTATGTCGACGGAGAAGACGCGGCGTATGAGGAAATCAGGAAGGCAATATTTGATCCACGGCATAAAATCGGGGATTGCTAATGGACCGAATTTTTGCGTCAGATCGTCAATAATATCTATGAATTCTTGCAGCTTGGGATCCGTTACTTCAAACTGCTTGCCTGCCAATAAAATCCGCCTAGATAATCGTATGCAAATCACATACGTGCATTGATACTTGGAAGGTGATGGCATATATTTATATTTTGTCAAGATATTTTCTCTCGTATCACATAATAATTCTCATTATCAAATGAATTTAATCGGATAATCTACTTTTACGGAAATAAACCCTAAAATCCGCCCGGCCAATGAACCAGATTCGAATTCCAGGAAAGCCCGGGAAACCTTGATGACGTCACAATAGGCGTCTGGCCATTGCTATTTTTGCGTCTGGTGTGGAATTGCCTTATATTGTCTCAGATCTGCTTCATTTTTCGGACGATATTTGTTTAGTGAATGATAACAGTGATGTAGTAGAAGAGGCTACAGTGAAACAGAGTCAGTTTAGTAGAATCCTATCAGTTTGACTCAAGAAAATCAGTTAATTAAGTAGATAGGGAAGCTAATGATGTCTATGGCCAGGCATACAGGAAGAGAATAGAGGGTGAATGGATGTATAAATGCACGAGGGAAAGAAAGGATGAAAGAATAGGATTAGGGAAAAAAAATGAAGAATGGTTGATTGAGAGAGAGAGAGAGAGAGAGAGAGAGAGAGAGAGAGAGAGTGAGTGAGAGAGTGAGAGAGAGATAGATAGATTGATAGATAGAGAGAAAGAGATGAACAAATAATAGAAAAATACAATAAATCTATAAATAAAAACTGAATAGAGGAATACATAAATGATAAAGCGTGTGAATACAACGAGTGAGATAGAAAAACACATAAAAAGAGCAAAAGTAAATGAATGGAAAATGAGCGAGAAAGAATACTGAAAGTTACTCACAAGAGTATTTATGCTTTGTCATCGTTTCATTTCTTTTTTATTCCTGGACCCGAATCTGTTCTGCGGCGGAGTCACTTTACACTAATAATAACTTATAAGAATTATGTAATATGTTACGAAGTGAGTAAATTTTGGTAAGTGAGAAATTTTGCTCGACTCTGGCCATTAATACATGGACATGTATATATATATATATATATATATATATATATATATATATATATATATATATATATATATATATATATATATTTATATATTTATATATATACGAATGTACAGGTCCTGTACATGAACATATGCATACTATTTATACCCATGCATATATATATATATATATATATATATATATATATATATATATATATACATGTATTTTATATATAGTACATACACATATAAGAGTGTGTGTGTATATGTATGTATGTACCTGTGTGTGTGTAAGTGTATGCATGTGTGTGCGCACACGTCCGCGTTTGTGTATATGTGCACGCGCGTGTACTTATGCGTATATATAAAAAAAAAAAAAAAAAAAAAAAAAAAAAAAAACAAAACTCAGCGCAGACATCTCTTCCCTACATGTTACTTACTCGCAACCATATGCCAGATAATGTTGATAACAGCCACCCTCAGATCACGAGGGATGCGTTCAGACCTGTTCGCTTGGCCCTTCAGCGCCTCGATCAACTTGTTCGCTTGGTTCTGGACTGCGGACACCAAGCTGGACTTGCCCATGCCTTGATCTCGGAGTTGGCGTAGGCTGAATCGGCGGTTGATGTGCCAGATGTTGCCGTTGCTTCCAATTATACCTATTGATAACATGGTAGGTATTTTTTTGTATGGAATGGATGCTTCATGCTATGTAGTGTATTCGTGTGTCATTAATTTAGTAAATTATTTATTTACTATTATTTTTTGATAAGTGGAAGATTAAAAATATCGTCAACGCCTGCTTGTAAACCCAGATCTTTTTTTCACTACATTCATAAATACGATATACAATGCACACATACTCACACTCACACAATACACCCATCCCTCTGTTCAGCCATCCATCTTTCAGTCATTAAATCCAGCCATCCATCCTGAAGTTCATCCACTCACCCAACCTCCCACCCATTCAAATTATATAGAAATCCTTACCTAGGGTAACAGGTTCCAGAAATCTGAACATTTCCCATATCGGGCGGTCGAGAAAGTCACTACTACTGAGGGCTTCTCTGCTAAGCTGGTAACTGTGCAGGAAGACGTTCACCTGGGTGCCCATGCGCCATCTACGGAGTCAAGACAAGGCATACTCACTGTATGTCTACGTGATTTGTATTCTCATACACATGTCTGTGTTTGTGGCTTTACATCCATATACCTATATTTATACCTTTATCCAGTATCTGTATCTATATGTATATTTATGTTCTTATCTTTATCTATATCTTTAGCTATACGTACATCTCCTGTCATCTATATCTATATGTGCATTGAATATGTCTGTGTTTTCATATCCACTTATAAACTAAATATACCTATCGATGGTCTCTCTCTATGCATGTATGCATGCATATATGCATGTATGTGTGTGTGTGTGTACTTATAATTCCATGTACTTAATTCCGTATAAAGAAGATAACTAACATATTAACAAATGAAAACCTACTTCCATTTGCTCAACTATAGAAGCACGCGCCTACGTTACTATGCGAAACAACAAATCGTTTACATAACAACAGAACCTAATACTTACACGTATATGTCTCCGTGTTGTTTCTGGAGGTCTTTGAATTGGTCATCCATGCGTTTCCCGTTGAGTGGTATGTAACCAACGAGCGGAAGACCCCATCGGCCTGGTAAGTGTTGGTGTATGATAAGCACACTCAGAAAATTGTGGAAATAAAAATGTTTGAGTAGATAAATGAGAAAGGGAGAGAATGAGAGGGAGGAAGAGGGAGGGAGGGAGGGAGGGAGGGAGGGAGAGAGAGCGAGAGAGTGAGAGTGAGTTAAAGGAAAATATATATAGATAAAGAAAGGGAGAGAGAGTAGTGTATATATATTTATTTACATATATATATAGAGAGAGACAGAGAGAGTTAAATGAATATATATAGAGAGAAAGAAATAGAGAGAGGAATGTATATACATAAAGATAGAGAGCGATACAAAAGCAATATCACCCATGATATAGGAATAAAATGTACATGTTCGAATAAATAGTACGCTGTTTCATATGTTAGCTAACAAACTTACCTATAGTTAAAGTGAATCGGCACAGCTTCCTGTGTCTGACAACCAACAAACTTACCTACTGTCAGAAGGTGATTCGTGTTCACTTTAACAGCAGTCTCACCTGTCAGAATTAATAGTTTCATATTCGCTGATTAGCCTTCGTACTCACCTCGTTGCAAAATAAGTAAGTTTCACTTGACTAGTAACAGACTCTCCTGCTAGAATGAATACGACAGACTCACCTGTTGTCAGAAATAGTTGATGGCGTTTACCCTGTTATTCAATAGCCTCACCTGCTGTTGGAATGAATAGGTAGTTTCCCAGATTCACCTTGGAATTAATAGGAATAGTTCCCCGTTACCCAACAGACTAACCTGGTGGCAGCCCATCAGGCTTCTTGAAGATCGCAAACCACAGTAGGTAGAGGAGTGCCAACCCTAGAAGCAACTCAGCCAACATTATTTACTCTTGCGTTGAACTCCAGAACAGGTGCAGAGTAACAGCTATCAGCAAATGTTCAGTCTTATAAACTCCTGAAACTGATAAGGTTTAATAAAGCTATTCACTGGATTATCAACTTTATTACGTGTCGAATCCTGTTATCAAGGTAACGTGACAGGAAGGAAATGTGGAACTTGAAAATTGGATATACAGAAAATATAAAATATGTCCCTTAATAGCTTAAACAAATATAATAGAAAGATCTATGAGAAAAACTATGACTACGAATAAATAAATTAACAGAAACAAACACATACGAATGCTAACATAAAACGATAATACTTACTTAAAACAAAATCACATTACGTACTTATAATCTAACACAATATCCACGCAACTTTAACACGATTTTGTACAACACAAATTGATCATGAGAAGGAACTGTATGCCATTAGATGCGAGTTGAGGAGGAGGTCGGCTTCAGCGTTCCGTTCCTTTCCATGTCTCATCACTGACTGGTATCCTCTCGTTTACGGCCAAGGAGGGAGTTGCCAACGTTTTTTTTATCTTTTTATTTTTTTGAGAATCCTATGCTTACGCCAAGGTCAAAATAGTTTGATTGGGGTCTGTCTTGATTTGTTACCTCTTATAGAAGAAACCTGATCATATATATGAATGTATGTGTGTGTATGTATGTTTATTTATCTATCTATCTATCTATCTATCTATCTGTCTTTCTATCTATCTACCTATCTATATAGCGTATGTATACATGAACATACACACCAAACAAGTTTTATCTCGGATATATGTATCTTACGATAATATGATTTTTTATTGTCATGGTGACAGCACAGTAATCACACTAAAATTGAACAGAAAAATCCTTATTACGTCAATATAACATGTAATTCAAAAATTTAAAAAATTGTTACACTCTTTCTGGGTGAATGCTTGTCAAAAACAAGGAAAAAACAACTTTGAGGAAGATGCATAGAGTTTTACCGTAAAAAGGTACGACAGTTTTGGCATTGTCAGTGCAAGATGCCAACTCAACTTGTCTGCAGTCTAGAGTGGTTAGTCCATCGCATCAGTGTGTACTATAACGTCCGTGTAATATTTCAGATCTGTACAATTAAATCTGCAAAAATCTCCATCGTGTTCCCATCGCTTTTGCATAATTTAATATACATTTTTTTCTCTCATTTTTTTCTCTCAATTAATTACAAACTATAACCAATCTATAACCCTCGCCAACATATCAAAATACATACCCATACATCCATAACGAACAAAGAAACAAACAAAAGAAAAGAAAAGAAAAAACTCGAACCATAATTTTTTTTTTCAGAAGGACACACGATTGTGACTTGGTTGAGTAGAGAACCGTTTTTAGGATGTGGGTGGAAGTGGTCTTAGGAACAGCGCTGGTCATCCTGCTGTACCTCTCCTTCTTTCAGAAACCGAGAGGACTGCCACCAGGTAGATATGGAAATAGGAAATACTAAGGAGTGTGTGTGCGTGTGTGTGTGTGAGAGAGAGAGAGAGAGAGAGAGAGAGAGAGAGAGAGAGGAGAG